TGGAGCGACCTGCGGCGTCGGGGACTGCTTTGGACTTGTCAACTGGATCAACTGGATCAACTGGACCCTACGAACTTCCACTGAACTTCAGCTGAGAAAGCCATACAATGCTCCAGTGGCAACCAACTACCATCATCTACCGTCATCTACCCCCTACTTTCCATTTGGCGCAGGGGTGCATATGCCAAGTTTGATTACACAAACGGTAGCGCCAAGGGCTTCTTTGATCTCCATGTGACATCTGGGTGGGGCTTCGCCACCCCCCGCAAGTCCTCTTTCCAATGCACTTCACCCCCTAAATCAACCCCCAGATATTTCCTCGCTATAGCCGCTACGTCTCTTCATCCAAAGGGCATGTTTGAAAGCACCAACTGTTTCAGCTTTCAAGATTCAACCTGTGCCCCAACTGGACCCCCAGCACATTGCCACAGCTGCAGCTTGTCGCTGGACCGGAGGCTTCCTAGCTATCAGGGCTCAACCAGTGACTGATCACCAAGCAATGACCGAAAATTATGTGGGACCATGTGGGACCATCTTGGGACCATCAATCCATCAATGCTAACAAAATCTTCAGACTTTTTTTCAGTAATCAGAGTAATCATTGAGTAATCAATGCAAATCCGTGACGAGGGCACCTACTTCTGCTTGTCAGTCGGACTCAAACGATCCCAGAATCCCAAATCAGGCGATCCTAAAAATTGGAGGCCAAAATCAACATGGCCAGATTGGCCCTACCATTCAAAATATGTATATATATATATATCATATATATATGACAATATATATATATCATATATATATATATACTGTGATTTCTGCATAAGGCTATTTCCCCCCCAAAAAAAAAGGAATGCGACCACAAGGTTTGTCCTTTTTGAGTGCGAAACCATCCAAGTTTGGGACTAAAACATGAAACCACTATCATACGCTCGATGGAAATCCTCTAGAACAGTCAAAAAGTTTCCCGAGGGCATCGAGGGCATTCCTGGTTCCCGACTCCTGTTGGATCCTTTTGGAACCATGGCAATGAACCACCTATAAAAACGCTGTGTGAAAAAACCCCTGGCAATTGAGGAAATCTAGGAAATCATCTTTTGGTGCATGAGAAATCCCAAAAAAATGCCGATTCAAACTTAGCCACAGCAAGAAACTAAGACTTTAACTGTGTTTTTTTACCGTGTTTAACCGTGTTGGGATCCCATCAGAATTTTCTAGATCATCATTCTTGGTCCTTCTTAGTAGAAGATACCCTCTGGTAATGACTAACATAGCTATTGAAAATGGTGATAGAAATAGTGGATTTTCCCATTGAAAATGGTGATTTTCCATAGTTTTGTGTATGTTTACCAGAGGGTATGTAGAATTATTACTTGGTTCCTACTTATCATCCAACATCAATGGCATGGTCGATCCAAACAGTACCCACCTCATGTCTTAGTAGAAGATAGTCGTTTTTGTTGATTGAACCAATTCAACCTTCGGGGGCTTGACAAAGACATCAACGACATCAGCGCCTTGCGAAGGGTCACCTCCAAAAGCCTGGGCGTTTTGAGAGATGATGAGATGGTCATGAGGTTATGTGGTGACCATGCCCCGTACGTAGATTCATACAAATACCTGATTATATATATATACATATAATTATATAATATATATATATATTAATTATTACATATATATATACATAATTATATATAAATATACACATATAATTACCAGGCAGTTACTTCTGCCCTCCAATGGAAGCCACTTAGACCCAAAGTGCCAAACGGTCACTTACAATATCAATCATGCATAAGTGACCTCGTTTCATGAATCCTTACGTGACCTCTTTGCCTGGCTGATCTCATGATTTCTCCGTGTCACTGCGTGTCACTTGCGTGTCACTGGGGTTTCGAGGTGGGATGAAACGAGGTCACTTAGGACCCTGAAAAGGTCACTTAAGCCTTGAAAAGGTCACTTAAGGATTGACTGTCTGCGTGTCACCTGCGTGTCACTTGCGTGTCACTGGTAGGCCACTCTTTGGTTCGTTTCCTTAAGTGACCTCTTTCTACGTTTTCCTTAACTGACCTCTTTCTAAAGGCCACCTAGCAGAAAACACAAACAAGGTCACAAGGAATCGTCTGGTATAAATATATATATATATAATTATATATACATATGTACAGTAATATATCTCACATTTCCATGTCTCCTGCAATTTAGTGGGTCATACCGAGTCATACCCCATCGGTCCGGTTCCGTGTCTCCGCAGTTGAGCCAATCCACGGCGTTGTGAAGGCATAGTCCTGCGATGCTTGTCGATGGTTGCCAGCTTTGACAGATAACCCGCAAGGGGATTGGAAAAAGATCATGGAAGATGCCATCGGGATTTTTTTTAGCTGACCCATTTGGCTGATGATTTGGCTGATGATTTGGCTGACCATTAAGATATTAAGTGCATCTATAAGAATCCACACCTGGGTTTACTGTCTGGGTATGCACAAGTCTTGGCAATTATTCCAAACACCTGGCTGAAGGCCATCAAATTGATGATTTCCGAGAATGGGAGTCATGATGAAACACGTTTAACACGCCTACCGTATGGCGCAGCTATGAGATCACTTTTTTCAACCCAAATATCATTGGTATCTCAGGGGGTTCACACAGTGTGGGGCACTTGGGACTCCCAATCATCCCAGGGAAAGAAAGCAACAAGCACAGACAAACCCTCGGCTCATCGAACGTGGCAATTGAAAATCCACCATTTCTAGGTGATTTTCTCGTTAAAAAATCGTTAAAGCCTCTATTTCTACTGGATTTCCCATTGCCATGTTTGATTACCAGAGGGTATGAAACCATAAGGCACGCTGCTTTCATTGATCTGTTTGGTGTTCAAGCTGTAGTTTGGATATGTTTGGACCAATTGGCCAACAGGACTTGGGTCCATAGCACTAGAAGCGACATGACAATGGCCTTTGCAACAATGCTTTTGGTGCCCTACATGGCTTGTCGTGGCTTCCGTTAGAACACTCCAGCACCGATGTCCCCTGGTTCACGTGGGAAGCGACCATGGGAACTGAGATGCTTGGAGACTGCAACGAAACCTAGACTGAGGTTATCTGCAAAAACTACAATTTACTCCGTCCAAAAAACAATGTCTTACAGCCAACTCATGGATGGGATAAGCATAATTTATCTCAACAAGGGTTGAAAAGATGCTCCTGCCAATGGCTTCCTGTTCATAATTCATATATATATGTATACATAATTATACATATATATTCATGTGTCCCCTATATCAACCCCACATCAGGGCGCAAAACCTTCCCTGTGGCCTTGCCGTTGGCAAAGGAGATGCTCCTGGGACCACATCAATTTTAGTACAAAATATGCCACTTTCGCAGGGTTTACCCTCTGGTAAAAGCTATTGAAAATGGCCATTTATAGTGGATTTACCCAATTAAAAATGGAGATTTTCCATAGTTATGTTAGTTTACCAGAGGGTAACCTGTAATCATGCAGAATGTCAAAGGAAAATGGTGAACAGATCATCCCGGGCATGGACCTGTGTCCATGTTTCTCGGTGCCCTTCTCAATGGGGCAGTTACAACCATTTCTTACAGGGGGACCATTTTCACTGGCCTTTGTGGGCAAACAGCTTTAAGGTGAACGGTCCCAGATGGCTGACGGAAACTTCCCCAAGTTTACTCCTTTTTGCGCCCGCGCTGTCCTAGACAGAAATTCCGTCTGACTAGCGGCCAATTTTTGAGGCAATAAAGTCATGGACTTCAACGCACGGTATCAGTTGATTTGAAAACTCTTGTGCCGTTTCAAAGCCCCGAAATAGATCTGTACTTCCGGATCATTCAAAAGTAGATGAGGTTGAAAGCAAATGACACCATCAACCATTGTTGGTAAGTCATGAAATGGGAAACTCTCATGGATTCCATGAGAAGAAACATCTGAAAAAAACTTGACACAGCCACGGGTTCTAGGTGTCCCAATAAATATGTTATGTAGTCTGGTATATATATATATACATAGAGGGTCATGATGTTGGGACAAACAAGAAACCTTAATCTAGATCATGCTCAAATCTTATTCTCTTTGGATGGAATTCCAACCCAACAATAAACCATCCCAGTAACCAACCATTCTGGGGTCGTTTTACACCATCCCAAATAGGTGTATACTCAATACTAACATATATTAGCCTCCGATTGGGATGTTTATAATTTTCCTTTTCCACATGCATTAATATTGTTTGCGTATTATTGATTATAGCCAACCAGGTCGACTTCCCCAAGACTCGAGCATTGTGACAGTGAAGTCCATGACAAAAATTTCGAGCGACAGTGCCTTTGCACTGCACCCAGAGATGTCAAGGTTGTCTAGAGAGTTGACTGCTTGCTGTTTTTGTAATGAAAATAAAAATCATTACCATCTGGTTATTTAACATAGCCATGGAAAATGGGGCCATTCATAGATGATTTATGATGGTTTAGCTATTAAAAATGGTGATTTTCCATGGCTATGTTAAATAACCAGAGGGTAATTATTCCAATCTGAAAACAAATATATCACATGTTTAAACAATTATAATATAGCAAAACATGATATGGGTGGGGATTGAAATTAACCAACAAGTGCAGGTCATGTATGGTCTAGGACCAGCCGACCACTTTTTTTGGTGCCTTTTGGGTGTCTGGAGACTCACGGGACATCCCCGAAATTGCAACGTGTCAACATCTTTCAACGGAGATTTCTCCGAAGGCCAGTGAAAAGATGGGGACAGATTTCCCCTAGAAATCATTGGGTTATCATGTTGATGTTTCTTTTTGGAAGGATTCCCCCACGGCAATAATCATGGGTTTTAGGTCGTTCTATTGCCACCAGTGGCAAATCCACGAGCGGATTTGGGGGTTCCAATTTAGTTCCAATGGTTGATATGCATTTGGATCTTCATCTTAAATCGCATAGAGTCTCAGAGAGTCTCATAGAGTCATGTTTATCACAACCCCACCACTTCTCAAGATAGCCAAAAAACAACTGAAAATTACAGGATCTTCACCACAGAACTTGTGTCTGATGATCTTTTCCTGGTGTCAGGCCAAGTCTGGATCCTGCTAGCGGAGCGATGACCAAAACTAGGTTTTTCAGTCGGATTTCACCTCTTTCAACTTGCGACTCAAGGAAGCGTCCGCCGGCGCCTCTGAGAGGTACAAGTAGAAATGATAGGGAACTTACTGGTCGGGATGGAAAGTGGAAAATCAACTGCTGGGTCCAGAACCCCAGAAAAAACTCATCGTCACCAGTCTTGTCTGGTAAATACATAGGCGGGCTGTCGGCACTAAACAAGATGTTTGTGGCCCAATCGAGGTTCATCTATGCCCGTTTGGTTGCATCAAAAAAAAAATGGTACCATATGGGTTTGTCTGAAAATAGGGTATATTCCCAATTATAGCCATTTAATAGGGATAATGATCATTAACCATTGGGTTTAGGGGTACACTATTTTCAGACAAACCCATATGGTATTCCAAGTCTGCCAAGACAGTCCAAATGCTACATGTATGCTAGATGCTACCAGCCGAACATTGATTCAAACAGTTGAACTGTGGATGAAGATAGCTTCATGGTCCATCTGCGATTTCCAAAAGCAGACCATCTCACCTCAAATGGCAGTCGGACAGATACATACAAATAGTATCAAATACAAAAAAATGCCATTGTCATCCATTGTCCATAATTTTCAACTATGAACAATTTCACAAAATTGGAGTTTCCGTTGATTGTCAAAACAAAATTGGTGTTTTCCATGTTCCACCATTAATGTTGGTGTTTCACAATTGTCCAATAACAACAATCCACCATTACCCGCTAAAACACCTACTGTAATCGTTGTTTCCATGAAAATCATGACATCTTCACCTGGCACTCCGTTAGGAATGGTGGATTCCCAGCAAAAACTGGATCAGAATCAGAATCCCCAAGATATATATATAATTATATATATATGTAGAGGATTATAGTACAAACCCCAAACTAATCATCAACCATCAACCATCGTTTCTATTCATTTATCAATCACATCTCCATTAGTTGTGCTTGAAACATCTTCAAATATCTATGAATATAATTAAATACAACTATAACACATCTATAAATCATCTACAAACATCTATAACATGGTAACAATGGTAACACGGCTCCTCGCACCCCTGCGTTCTTGACTTCAATGTACAGAAAACCCTTACGTTTTGCTACTTCATGGATAATGTGTTTAGATCATCTCACGACAAAAGTTTCCTCTGCACGTGTTCCATTTTTTTTTCATGTTGTCGGTCAGTTGTCACTTGGCCAAATTGTGGCTGAAAAATCCATTGGTAGATTCTGTCCCAGAAAAGATATCACAACGCAACATCGAGTGTGTGTGTGTGTGCAAGATTGTGCAAGTGCAAGAGGAGATGTCATAACGTAGCATCAAGTGTCTGTGCAAGATTGTTCAAGTGCAAGAGAAAAAATCATAACGTAGCATCAAGTCTGCGTGTGTGTGCGCAAGATTGTGCAAGCACAAGAGGACATATCATAACGTAGCATCAAGCGTGTGTGCAAGATTGTGCACGCGCAAAAGAAGATATCATAATGTAGCATCAAGTTTGTGTGTGTGTACAAGATTGTGCAAGCGGCTTGAAGTGCAAAATATCATAACGGAGCATCCCGTCATTGTGCAAGGGCAAGGGAAGATATCACAACGTAGCAGCAAGTTGTGTGTGTCTGGGTATGTCCAAGGGCAAGGAAAGAGACCATAATGTAGCCTATCCGATGTGTGCAAGTAAACATGAACGTTATTGCCCCACCCCACCCCACCCCACCCCACCCACATAGCATGATAACAAAAATGACAACGCCTCCGGGGGTGTGAGAATAGACCATAGACATCTGTAAACATCTATAAACATCTACAAACATCTATAGACATCTCTAAACATCTATAAACATCTATAAATATCTACAAACATCTATAAACATGTATAATCCAAAAATATCTATAAATCATGGTTAAATCTCCCTGTCGTCCTCACCCTGCAGACCCAACCCCCAGGATCCCCCAGGCGCCGCACCTGGACATCGCGCAGGCACAAGGGGCAAACCTGGACATGGCGAAGGATCTAAACGGCCTGGTTGGTATTTGTTTTTTCATTATTATTATTATTATTATTATTATATATTGTTATATGTTATTAATATCTATTTATTATTTATATAGCATTATTATCATTATCATTATCATCATTATTATCATATATATCATCATCATTATTGTCATGATTGTTTCAGTATTATTATCATTTAAGTTGCTGTTAGTACATATGATATTAGTATTATATATAATGTATGTTATTATTGTTGCTCTATCATCATTATTATCATGATTATGTCAGTGTTATTGTCATTATTGTCATTGTTTTTGTTTTTCAAATAATATATATATATGTTATTATCATCATTATGTTTTTTTTTAAATATATATATATATACAGTGTGCGTGTGTGTGTCTAATTCTTATTGTTAGTATATATTTTAATTGTTATTATCATTTGTGTTGCATCATTACTATCAGTATTATCATTATTCTCATTATTGTCATTATTTACATTATTGTTAAAAACAAAAACAAACATTACATATATATATACACCATTATTGTACTAATCGTGTATATATATGTGTATATATATATGTTATCATTACAATACATATATATATATATATATCATATATGTATCTAGTGTTGTAGTTATATAAATCTACATTCTCTTTCTACTAAAACCCGATGGATCCTAGTAGCTTCGGTAGAATTCGCGCCGCGCTTTGATTTGGGGGGTGATGTACCTTCAAAGTATTTGGATCCATGGGTATGTATCTATTATTGTAGTGTATATCATAGATATATATATATATATATTTATAATATAGTTGTAGTATATATATATGTATTGTATAACATAGATTCATATATATATAATTGTAGTGTATATTTATAGTTGTATCTATCTATGTACTATGCAATTATGTATATCCCCATGTATGGCACTCAGCGGACTGATCGAGTCGCCATTATACAGTGCCCATGTATGGCAAAAATACAAGAAAGTATTAAAAGTACCCATTCAAAAAGAGCCAGTGGTGAACAAGTCATTGACAGGAAACCACGGGTTCGCATCTACCATCCAAATATTACATATATATATATATATACATATATCTGATGGTTTTCTAGCAAATTAAGAACATCTGTATGTGTATCTGGGTAAATTATATTAATTCACTGACCTGAACTAAGGCCACCGATCTTCCCTTTGGCCGGCCCCCTCCCCGCAAGCAAGAGAGAACCGGTTACCTGAACTAAGGCCATTTGGGGATGATTTCCCTTACTAACCATGATTCCAGTGTTCGGTCGCAGTGAGGCCGTTATAATTTACCCAGGTGTATGTATACATAGGATCCATGGTGCTGCTATATATGCTAACAATCTAACATGACTGGGTTTTTTTAATAGCATATTGATGGGATCCATGTTACCATATATAGCAGCACCATGGATCCGTCATGGCTACATAGCAGCTGAGGCCGCTATGTAAACTCCCCGGTCTCGACCTGATTCCACCGCAGCCAGCGGTCGATGCAGCTTTGGTGAAAGCTGTGGTTGCAAGGCAGGCGTCGCAGTTGTTCGGCACCTGTTTTGCTGGGAGATTTCAACATGGGTAAAACACCATGGTTTCACCAACAACACTGTGGGATGGATACCAATAGAAATAGGAATGCAACCCTGCAACCATCAAAATAAGGAATTTCAATGAATTTCACACATATACGAATGACTTTGATCGGTTTGGTGACATAACGGGAAAAAATGGAGCAAACCATGGCACCATTTCTTTCTCCAAGAAACATTGTGGGTTCTCATAAATGTTCTCTTGAAAGGTCGCAACCTTGACGATGCATCAACTTGGGTTCCACGTGAGTTTTCATTGTTTCGTTTCCGAGGTGTGTATGTAGATTGTAGTTGGATTGTGAAGTCCAATCAGTCAATTACAACCAAACTCTAAGTTGCTAAGAGGTCCCGTACATAATCCCATCCCCGGCTGAAGCTCCTGAACTCACATGTATAATTCCCATCAACAACCATGGTTTCTGGTGGGTGTTTGATATTTGGGCTCCAGGTTTCAAACACAGGACTCAAATCGTGAGTACTGTACATCCTCAAACATACTGGGCGCTAGCTGTCTTGTGGCCATATAAAAGGTCAAACATCAATTATTTGTCCACCCTTGTTTGGTTTGGTCATGTCTTGTCCTTATCTTTACCCCTTTTCATGATTTATATCCCCACGATTTTGAGTTGATATACAATCAATGAATATCGTTTCATCAATCTTTTTTGTTGCTGGCAAAGTCCCCTTAACAAAATTCAGCTACTGTATATTGATGCTAGCACAATCCCCATCAGCTACTGATCATCTACACTTGCAACTCATTTCGGATGATTAAATCCAGTTAAGTTAATTTCCATGTTTATTCGTGAAAGCCAAAAATTTGGTGTGAAACCACCAATCTTGCTAGATCTTGCTAGATCCCCCAAGTAAAGCCATGCTTTCTTAAATCCCCAGGTCCTTTTGGCCCAGTTCTTCCCATCTCTGAACCACGAGGTCCAGACCTTCAAATTCACAGAGACAAACGGCACAGCTGCTGTCGCTACGACGTCGACCTTCCCGCCGCACCTCAACCTCCTCCAGTGGGCTGTAAAAAGGGGGTGCCCACCCGAAATGTTCATCAAATCGGAGAATATAGTGGGAATTTCACGGGCATTTCGCCAACTATGGGATATATGTTATGGGATATGCCCGGCATGGTAAGCAAACAGTTTGCAACTGAAAATGGTCGCGTCATCTATATACAAATGGGCAAATTTCCTGTGTAAAACTACAGGAGCGTAATTAAATTCTCAATGGAACTACTGCATTTCACGTGGTGCAAGATGATTGTAGTTTAGCGATCAGCAGAACCCCTCCTGATAAATCAAGCGGGCTTTTCAAAAAAGCTGCTGTGGCTGGATCCATGCCCCTGTTCATGCGGAAAATCGCTGTTAACCCATAACCATACTGAGATACACCTATGTAGTGGATACGATGGCACAAATCTAGACAGATTTAAGAATGATTTGGGGATATTTGGGGTACTCAAATTCTGTACTAATGTGGCAAACCCAAAAATTAATAATTTCCAATATTACCAGAAATGGGAGGTATAAACCTTTCAAAATTGAAGGTATTTATGGCATTGGCTTTACCAAGTTGGTTCCAAAAAACCCCTCTTTTTTTCCCATAATTATCCCATTATTGCTCGTTAAATCCTAATTTTGTATCTCAATCATTAGGTACAAGGATGGTATGGGAAGCATCCCTGCGCCCAGCACTGCTCTTCACTGCTCTTCGGCTTCGCGGCTCGGGTGGCAACGCCGTCCTCGACTCCGAATTCAAAGAGAGGCAACGAGTCGATTAACTCCTGGCGCTGCGGCAGGGATGGCAGGGCCATCCGCCTGACCAGATGTTTTCTGGTTGGTGGTAAAACAACCCCTCTGAAAAATGATGGAGTTCGTCAGTTGGGGTTACTATTCCCAATATATGGAGAAAAAAATAGAAAAAAATGTTCCAAACCACCAACCAGGTTTTATTGTTTTTTTAAATGTTTTTACGATCTCAGGTTCATCCACTTCAAAACATTACCCCTTGTTTTGAGCAACAATCTGCAAGACTCATCCAAGGGGTATGTTGAAAATCCATGAAAATCCATGACACTGGGACATCGAAATCACCATCTGATTGCGCCTGAGGCTCCGTAAAAACGCTGGACATTCAGGCGCAATGGCGCAATGACAGGCTTCACATGGCTTGCTAAGATCGATTCGTGGTTCCCATAATCGCGTCAAGAGAAAAAACCGGCGTATGAAACCCCAAGAATTGGGGGTTGGAAGATCTGGAAGATGTTTTTTGAAGTGGATATAGCATGTTTTCCCAGTCATGGGGGTTTCCTAAGTCATGGAGGTCCCCCCCAAATCATCCACTTATAGATGGATTTGTCATTATAAACCATCCAGCTATTTGGGGTACCCTCTGGTAATTTAACATAGCTATTGAAAATGGCCATTTATAGTGGATTTTCCCATTAAAAATGGTGATTTTCCATAGTTATGTTAAATTACCAGAGGGTACCCCCATGACGACCTGGAAACCTTCAGCCGGGCTAACCCCACATCCATCTGCCCAAAATCACCTGAGTGGCCCCTCGAGGCTTTGCTTGCAGAGAAGCCTGGCGGACCAGCTGGAGTAGCTATCACATGTAATGGGATATATAGGTGGGATTTAACTGATTTAACCAACAATAAAAGGATTGTAGTAGCAATGTACTGGGAATATCATGGCTATATTAGTTTTCTAAGCAGCAATATGATATGTATAATATGTGGTTTATCATCCATCCAATGGGTGTACAACATACCTGTTATAGTGGATTGATGACCATTGCGAAACCAGCCCTGGTGGTTTCTCCGAAGCTAACATTGCGTGGTCCAGGTTCTAGATCCCCTCCCATGGTCATAGTAGCCTTCTTATCCGCAGTACAGGGACGCAACATAGCTGGGTTCCTGTATAAATCTGGGTAAATTATAATATTTCACTAACCTGAATTGTTGGGCCATTTGGGGATGATTCCTCTTATTTACCATGATTCCCAGTGAGGGAGACCAGTGAGGTCGTGATGAAATTTACCCAGATAAATTGTATAAGAAGTATCCGGTTACTCAAGCTGTAATCATGTAGGACAGTTGCAATGTTCGAACATCACGAAAATATCGAACATAGCTGAGAGTGGTCGTTGTGCCATAGCTGAAAGTGGCAGCAACTCGTCCATGTGGAGCAAGTTTCAAAGGCTGTGGGTTCGCATGCTTTGCACTGGCTGATTGGGATCCCCGTCGCGCATTGATTTACGACTGGCAGCCGTGTTGCAATTCATATTTATATAATTTTATATAATCAACAATTAATCAACCAAATCTTGGAAAAAGTGCACCTCGGAAACAAGTTGCATGTTGTATCCATGTCATGTTGCAAGTTTTCCTCTACCAAGGTCGAGTCAGACGTCTTAAAAAAATTGCTGGCCGTGGGATGCCGTGGGGATGTTCCCAATGTTGAGGTGAATTGGGGTCAGCAAAATGGCAACATTCATCAGCATAGTTTTAAGCTTCGAGTATTGAGAGGATTCAACCTTTAAAACATGCAGTCGAGTCCAGACCATCCACTTATCTTTTGAGCACCATGCAACCGTTCCCCAACCCATTCTTGCTACGGGTGTGGCTCATGTCGCCTCGCCACGGACCGGAAAGCATCGATTAAAAACCACCTCAGCGCTGAGATGCCAGGATTTCTGGTTGTTTCAAAGTGAGTTAAACCATCTGTGCATTGTGCATCTCTAATCCCCATCGGCTGTGCCTATTGGGACCCAAAAATTATCGCGGCAAATGGTCACAAATAAATGATGGTCAAGATTCGTCAAGACTAAACTGACTCAACCCTTAGATCTCGCCCACAAAAATCACGCATGGTTTTAGGGGAATCAATTCCCTCAATCCCCAGCATCATTTCCGTGACGGGCTCCCATCCCCTCATGACAAATCCTAGAAGTCCTCGCAAAAGTTGCGATTTTTGCCGAGTATGACATGAATGGGTCAAAACCCTCCCTTCTGCTCACAAAAAGAATGTAAATCGTAAATGGATGTTCATCCAAAATGAGGCATAATAGGTGTTGAGCCATCCCCATTCATATCTCCATTTGTTTTGACCTAAGAATCAACCTATATTCAATGGGAATTTCAGGATCCTAAAATAGAGGTACTGTACCATATAAGGCCATATTTTCTGGGGATATTCCCTTACATAGGCCTTATATAGGCCTTATATATGCTAGGTACCTCCAATTTAGGATCCTGAAATGGCCATTGATATATGGGCATGTCTGAAAATTAAGTATCCCCCAAAAGCCATCAGAATCCCAGGGTTCATCACGAGTTCCATTTCCCCATTTTCAACACCATCAGAGCCATCTTCAGTCCTTCAACCCATAAAATCCCTAGCTGTTGCCATGGTCCCGGCCAGAGTCATGAGCAGCTTCAAGAAGGAGGCTACAACCACCCCCAACGAAAGCCTGGAGCTTGGCGCATCGTTGATGTTGCTTTATCGTCCATATATAGTCCATGTATAAAAACCATTATTTAACTATATTTAACTATATTTATATTTAAATTTAACTATATTTAACTATATTTAACTGGCTTATAATATCTTATAATATGATGCGTTCAAACTGAAAAAACGAATCGGGATTCACCCCCGAATCAGTAGCTCAGTAGCGAAAACCTAGTGTCCTGCAATCTCCCAGCGTTTTTTTTCCAGTGATTGGTGAACGTGTCTTTAATATGCTGACAATACCCAAGAAAAACCGAGATGTAACCATCAACAATGCCATAGAACCAACGAAGAGATTGGCCCAGAACCAGCAGTGTGGTTCTGTGAGTAGTTGGAACATGGGACTCCAAGCCACTTGTGACGCTGGTCAAGACGCTGTAGGATTCTGTTCGAGTATTGTTACCATCATGTGTTTAGTTTGAACAGTTCAGTCATTTTGGAAAACTAACCTTTGCCAACCTTCATTTCAAATGGCGTTGTGGTGACATGGTTATATTCATTATTTAGACATCAATTAACACATATTGGCACTCTATATTCAGCACTCAAGTATCTAATAAAATCTTAATACAAACATCTACAAAAAGAACAGCAATAAAAAAAACTAGAAAATGATGTTGTCAATGTTATCCATCAACTAACGTCGCTTCAATGTATGTTTTCTTTGTGGCAATTCGTGCTTTGGGAACGTCAAAAAACACGTGGCCTGTAGAGCCCAGGACACGAGTCGCAGTAGGTGGAGTTCAGGAGCCACACCACCTGAGACCCAAGGAATGGGATGTCGTTTTCACCATTAGTAATAGATATAAAAATCCCAATACTTTATTACTTATCACTATTAGTATAATTGCTCACCATTACTCTAGAAATTCCATGATTATCCCATGATCATTCCTATAAGTAATAAATTATATTATCTGGTTGGTGGTTTTTACCATCTTGAAAAATATGAAAGTCAATGGGAAGGATTATCCCATGCATTATGGAAAATAAACAATGTTTGAAACTACCACCCAGCCATTATCATTCCTATTAGTAATAAATATCCCATTGTTATTTTCCATTATCACCATTGTTATCCCATTATCATTCCATTATCATGATGAATATTCATTATTACTGTTATATACTGTTATTATTAATTAATAAAAATCCCATTATTATTAACCCATTATCACCATTATTGTCCCACTGTCATTCCATGATTGTTATGAATATTCATTATTACTGTTATATACTGATATTATTGTCTTATTCCTTTATCCCATGGTCACCCGAAAAAAGGAGTAATAAGGAATGGGATAACTATCATGAATGGGAAATCACGTATGAACCCAAACTAGGGTTATGATGATGGCAATCATGACAACAATGATTACTATGGGTTGATTTTTGTTATTGTTATTGGAACCATCATTTTTATCATTATAACCATAATCATCACCATCATACTCTTGCTATTATTGTTATCATTATTATTAGTATTGTTAATACTGTCATTATTATCATCATTACTGTCCAGCGTTATCAACCCTGAAGGTATTTTGTTATTATTGTTATTATAATTAGTATCATCATCATCACCACAATCATCATCATCATTACTCGTATTATATGTGATGGTTTTGATTATGTCTCATGATGTATCTGGTATGTATCTATGTTAGAGTCAATATATATATATATTCTATATATACCTTTAATAATATTATATATAGTATATATGTGTATTCTGTATATGTACATATTCTTTATAAATATAATATATAGTATATAATATAGACTATTGTATAATATACATATGTTACAATGTTATATAATGTTATATACATATGTAGTGTGTATATGTATATTTAATATATATATATATGTCTCTGTGTGTGTGCCCATTTTTTCTGTGGCATCCATCAAAATAGCAATAAATGCCTTTATTGACCTAGGCTTACCCAAAATCCCAGGCTTGGGTTGAAGGCAAAAATGTAAGTCACTTTTGGGACAGTCGCCCAGGGAAGCAACCACCAACCAGTCTAGCATCACATTCCTGGCAGGAACACGAATCACATGTGGATTGCAACCTTCATGTCATTGCTTTCATTGGTGATTTGGGATTCAAACCTTTGGTTGTAGCAAGTCAAAACGAACAAGTTGCTATCTAAATAGACGAAATGAGTGCACCACAAGACTCGGGGACTTTGCAAAACATACAGATTTTAATCTTCAAGAATACACTTTTCCAATCCTAATAGAGAGGATGTACGAACAAGTCAATATACTACTTGCTACAGTATCAGCAAATTCTGGCAGATGCCGATACTCCAAGCGGCTCCAAGCACGAACCAAGCGTAGCTGGCAATGGACACGAACTGCCCAGATTTTTGTGGCGCTGGGTGTTGAGTGTTGAGGTCATTCTCAGAATTGGGATGGAAAAATTGGAAAACAAACAAGGATTTGACATGACATGTCCCTGGGAAACAAGGGGTGTGCCATTCTTTAAGAGGAAATTTCAACGGGGACGGAAATGATATGTTTATTTGGCATCATAAACTGTTCTGGATCTATAAAATTCCAACCTGGATTGAGCAACGTCAGTTTAGATTGAACCTCCAACCAGATTCGATTTCACTAGTTAATTATACCTGCCTGACTTGACACCCATGGACTGAGAGCGTCTGGAATTGGTCTCACAGAAACCATTTTGTTGCGTCGAGGTCAGCATTGTTGGTACCAAACCAACTCCGGAAAGAAGACGATCACAGAAAGAAATCTTGCCAAAACCTAATGGCACATCAAAATTGACCATACCAGAGAATATGTCTGCGATAAACATATTCTATATATATATACTAATTATATATATATATATGTAATATATACTACATAACTCTATATATTTAACATGTTTAATATATACTAATTATATGAAATTGATGTGATTTTGACCAACCACCAAACCACAGGGATAGCTACAGCCCCGCCTTGCTAGTACGCCATGCCGGTGCCTGAGTCAGTTGCCGCATGCACTCCTCGCACATGGATGCTCTGATGGCTGTGCAAACGGATCGAGAATAGGAACCAAAAACATACGTCCGGGGGGTTATTCGGACCTTAATTTACAGTCGAATGTGTAATTTGTATTGGCAGGGCCATGCGAATTGCAACTTCATATCTGCAAGGAATTTGATCAAATTCCTTTCTCCAAGTGTCTAAAACCTGGGTTTTGGGCCATTTTGTTTTGATATATGCATGCTTTGCTTATCAATGTGTTTTTTCCGGAGCATTTTCATCCAAAGGCTTCTTTGTGCAACTGTCGACCAGTAGCCTGAAACAGTGTTTCTTCTGGACCCGCCGCCATTGCCACTGCTGCGCATCTGTCCCAATTCCAGCCATATCCCATGACGTAACATGTAACATCTTTACTTACTCGGCCAACACACAGAACTTAACGTAACATGTAACATCTGTCCGAACTGCAGCCATATCCCATGACGTAATATGTAACATCTTTACTCGGCCAACACACAGAACTTAACGTAACATGTAACATCTGTCCTAACTACAGACATATCCCATAACGTACCATCTAACATCTTTTCCACAAACGCATTTGTTTCTGCTTAGAGTCTACATGAAGGTTAATACGCCCCCACCCCCCACTGCACCCCACCCCAAGTCCCATGACGTATCACATTGCATCTATGCCAACACAAAATCCATCACGTAATATGTTGCCAACTGTCAGTGCCTGACATCAATGCAGTCGTTTCTGCTAAGAGTCTACATGAACGTTAATACACCCGCCCACCCCACCCCACCCCATAACATCAAAATGGTTCGCAAGTGCATCAACAAAAAGCAGTAAAAATAGGGTCCGGTTTTCACGCCGCTAGCAAAAACATGGTTTGATAATGGTTTAATACACAAAATATGATCTTTAATCACACCATATATGTAACCAAATATGTAACCAAATATGATCCAATATTGTATAATATGTCTTTTCCATGTGTGGCAGAATAAAAATGGACCTCACAAAAGATTGGCCAAAAAAGGAATCGAATCGATGTCTTTTTTTTCAGAGGGTGTGATATGATCCGGAAGGAAACTAGACATAAAATTTGGGTGCAATACAGACTGGTTGGTGGTATACCTACCCCTCTGAAAAATATGAAAGTCAGTTGGGATGATGACATTCCCAATATATGGAAAAATAAAAGCCATGTTCCAAACCACCAACCAGCAGAGAGATCTGAAGCAAGTAAAATATCGGATGTCCATTGGATTCTACCTGAGAATATTTTGGTAAACATCCGCTGGGGGTTGCGCCACTTGTCACTCCGTAAGCCACCAATGAACTGGTCCCTTTCTTGCACTAGGCATAGTAAACCCCAAAAAGATAGAAAAGTGTTTCCAAGATTTTATAAATGATATGTCAGATATATGTCACCATATGTCACCCCAGAATCTCCAAGTTTCCAGCTTTAATCTTTTGGCTTCGAATGTCACCATCCCCATGGTTTTTGTGGATAGCCGTGTCCTGGATGTCACCGTCCAAGCGCTGAATTTCCTCGAGATCGGAATCTTCATCCCAAGTAGGGTTAAAACTCCCCAAGAATCTCAAGAACAAAATAGATCAAGATAGATCAGCATAGGTAGAAAATCTGGCTTTCGGGATGTTGACTAAAATTGTGTTGAGTTCTTTGCATTTTCGGAATCTTCTACCCAATTTGGTCTGATTGGGATTCACCCACTGCCATCCAAGGTTCACGCACCCGCAGGTAGAAAACGATACGTACTGGCGCTTGCATCAGCTGCAGCAAGCAGTGCAATGCAAGCCTCGGAAAGTGGCACGAAAGGAGGAAGATTTGTTAACCATGTTAACCTTTTACATAATTACTCCTGGGTGAAAGGGGTAAATACCATGTTCATCCATTTTGAACATCCATTTTGAACATCCATTTTCATCCATTTTCTTTTGGTCAATCGAGGGTCTAGGACTCTAATGGAGTCTAAGTGCCTGTGTTTTTTGGTGTGATGTAAGTGGCCCCAACTCATCCCAGTGGTCTCAGCTTTGTTGGGAAAGCAATGGTGAAAAAGGCTACACCAACTTTATCTTATTCCAATCTCACAAGCCGCTTCTATAATTATGAATAGTGTCATGGTTTTATAAGGTTGTAATCAAGTTAGTCTGTGGGATATCTCCACTTAGATTAATGGATTATATAGAAAGAAGAAAAATAGATAGATAGGTAGATAGATAGATAGATAGGATTTGATTTGATTTGATTAGATTAGGTTAGATTAGATGAGAGATTAGATTAAAGATTGGATTAAAGATTAGATTCAAGATTAGATTAAAGATTAGATTCAAGATTAGATTAAAGATTAGATTAAAGATTAGATTAAAGATTAGATTAAAGATTAGATTAAAGATTAGATTAGATTAGATTAGATTAGATAAAAAGATAGATAGGTAGGTAGATAGATAGGTGGATAGGTAGATAGGTAGGTAGGTAGATAGGTAGATACTGTAGATAGGTAGATAGGTAGATACTGTAGATAGGTAGACACTGTAGATACTGTAGGTAGATAGGTAGATACTGTAGATAGGTAGACACTGTAGATACTGTAGATACTGTGGATACTGTGGATACTGTGGATACTGTGGATACTGTAGATACTGTAGATACTGTAGATAGATAGATACTGTAGATAGATAGATACTGTAGATACATAGATACTGTAGATAGATAGATACTGTAGATAGATAGATACTGTAGATAGATAGATAGATAGATAGGTAGATAGGTAGATAGGTAGATAGGTAGATAGGTGGATAGGTGGATAGGTGGATAGGTAAAGAGGTAGGTATAGATAGATAGGTAGATAGGTAGATAGGTGGATAGGTACATAGGTACATAGGTAGGTAGGTAGATAGGTAGATACTGTAGATAGGTAGATAGGTAGATACTGTAGATACTGTAGATACTGTAGATAGGTAGACACTGTAGATACTGTAGGTAGATAGGTAGATACTGTAGATAGGAAGACACTAGATACTGTAGATACTGTGGATACTGTGGATACTGTGGATACTGTAGATACTGTAGATACTGTAGATACTGTAGATACTGTAGATACTGTAGATAGATAGATACTGTAGATAGATAGATACTGTAGATAGATAGATACTGTAGATAGATAGATGCTGTAGATAGATAGACAGATACTGTAGATAGATAGATACTGTAGATAGATAGATACTGTAGATAGATAGATAGATACTGTAGATAGATAGATACTGTAGATAGATAGATACTGTAGATAGATAGATACTGTAGATAGATAGATACTGTAGATAGATAGATACTGTAGATAGATAGATACTGTAGATAGATAGATACTGTAGATAGATAGATACTGTAGATAGATAGATAGATAGATACTGTAGATAGATACTGTAGATAGATAGATAGATAGATAGATCGATCGATAGATAGATAGATAGATAGTTAGATAGATAGATAGAGAGATAGATAGCTAGATAGAGAGATAGCTAGATAAATAGATAGCTAGCTAGATAGATAGAGAGGTATCTAGATAGACAGACAGACAGACAGACAGACAGACAGCCAGACAGATAGATAGATAGATAGCTTGAGAGATACATCGATCGATCGATAGAGAGATACCTAAATAGATAGATAGATAGCCAAAAAGATAGATAGATAGATAGACAGATAGACAAATGGCTAGATAGATAGATCGATCGATAGAGAGATACCTAGATAGATAGATAGATAGATAGATAGATCGATAGATAGATAGCTAGCTAGACAGACAGATAGATAGATAGATAGGTAGATAGATAGCTAGCTAGCTAGATAGAAGGATAGATTGATGGATAGATAGATAGATAGCTAGCTAGATAGATAGATAGAGAGAGAGAGATAGATAGCATCAGATAGCTAGATAGACAGACAGACAGACAGATAGATTGATGGATAGATAGATAGATAGATAGATGGAGAGATAGATAGAGAGATAGCTAGATAGACAGACAGACAGACAGCCAGATAGATAGATAGATAGATTGATTGATGGATAGATAGATAGATAGAGAGATAGCTAGATAGATAGACAGACAGACAGACAGATAGATAGATAGATAGATAGATCAATCGATCGATAGAGAGATAGCTAGAGAGATAGAGAGATAGATAGATAGATAGATAGATAGCTAGGTAGATAGATAGATAGTTAGCTAGATAGATAGATAGATAGAGAGATAGCTAGATAGACAGACAGACAGACAGACAGCCAGATAGATAGATAGATAGATAGATCAATCGATCGATAGAGAGATAGCTAGAGAGATAGAGAGATAGATAGATAGATAGCTAGGTAGATAGATAGATAGTTAGCTAGATAGATAGATAGATAGATAGATTGCTAGATAAACAGACAGACAAAACAGACAGACAGACAGACAGACAGACAGATAGATAGATAGATTGATGGATAGATAGATAGATAGATAGATTGATGGATAGATAGATAGATAGATAGATCAATCGATAGATAGATTGACATGGGGGTGATACGACATCCCCATGGTTCTTTAGCAAAAACACATCTGCCACATTGAAACCATTGAGGTCACCACCAACACCGGAGCGGCCGATTGCAGAGCCTGTCGACAGAATTTCGTGTACATATATATATATATACATATATACATATACATATGCATTATTATATGTGTATGTGTATATATATGTGTATATATAGAATATGCATAGTTTTATCTGCGTTATTATATGTGTATGTGTATATATACATATGAATTATAATAATTCACCAACCTGGAAATAGCTAAAATAAGGTCACTGATCTTCTCTTTGGCCGGCCCCCTCCCCGCAAGCAAGACGCTGAAATAAGGCCGTTTGGGGAATGATTCTTACTAACCATCATTCCAGTCACTTCACAGTGAGGTCACTATCCAAATATATGTAAGTATATACACATCATATAATATATATATATATTTATATTTATACTGTTCGTACATGTGAATATATATATATATACATAATAAATGTTTACATGATACATTGTTAAGTACGCCTCTTTGCTTGTCCGAATGCCAGCTGTCTACCTGGACCTGGTGCCAAGGTCGCCTGCATGGCTCCCAAAACGCCAAGAGGAAAAGTCCGCAGGGCACAATCGTGGCCTGCCACCAAAATCACCAGTCGTGGCCCGAGGAACCCCGAGGAATCATGATTCATAATGATTAATATAATCTTTGGAATTATTCAATGGTAATTGTATATTTCATAACTCGACATTATGAAATATTTTGAAATATTGAAATGATATTCCAATTATGATATGATCATTGTTACAACTAATATAGACCCTAAGAATCGGCTATTTGAAGAAGAAAGTAGTCTTCCAACCCCCTCTTTGGCAGGGTCTATGTTAGGTTAAGTGGATTGGGTCTGTTATCATTATGATCACTTGGATACTTGGACTTGCTCAAAAATCTCAAGGTTCCCAAAAAAAAGTCCCTCAAACAGTCGAGCGGAAGTGGGAAAATGTTCTAACAAGATACAACCTCAGCAGATCCAGGATGATCCAGGCATGCTGATGTGTGAATCAGCCAAAAACCGGATGGCTACATACTCAATGACTGTGGATGAGGTAACCACTGACCAGGATATCATGGGTGTAACCCCGATATCCAAATCTGTCCATTCTTCACGTTGACACATCCGGGTGGTGATCTGTTCCAATAGGAAGCCCATCTTCTGCAGTAAGAATCTGGTGGATGATCTGTGTGTTGATTCTTTGGGGACTTCTTGCACCAAATCGTCAAATCGCAGCGGAATTTTTGCAAGCCTTTGGAAACATATGTAACCAAACGTGTTACGTTACGTTGGTGGCAATACAGTGTTCTCAAACGCACCAAAATAGCAGGCTCCATAGTATTGAACCCCGCACAGCTGAATTTCCATCACAATTGGTGAATTCTCTGATTCAACCGCTGCTTCATCCCTAGAATGGTAAATGGAATATTCATCAGTTATACAGTAACCGGACCAGATTCACTATCTATATATATATAGGTAACCCTATATATATATTTCATCAACATTATACACCATTATACACCTAGTTATACAGTAACCAGATTCACCTTCCCACACCTCAATGAATTCTGGGGTACCAAACGGAAGGTGAAGCCCCCCAGTGAAATGTTTGTTGGTTGAAAAACACCCATGAATCAATGGATTGGTTTAAGGGAAAATCTACAGGAAACCGGAAACCATAGATTTTCCCATTAAATATGGGGCTTTCCTGTACATTTTCCCTTAAACCAATCCATTGAGTGAACTCTAGCTATATCCCCCTGAACCCAAATGTTTACCCAGTGAACTGTGCGTCTATCATAAATCAACTATCGAAAAATCCCATGAAACCATCCTTTGTCCTATGGGTGTTTAATCATCATGTTACCCTCTGGTAAATTAACATAGACCCTGGCAAATAGGGGTTGGAAGACTAGTTTCCATTAAAAATTGGTGATTTTCAGGGTCTATGTTAATTTACTGGAGGGTAACAATAGGTGAAAAATCCCATGTAACAGCAATGCTGCTTGGTGGTTGACCTACCCCTCTGAAAAATCATGGAGTGAAAGTCAGTTGGGATGATGACATTCCCAACTGAATGGAAAATGAAAAATGTTTCAAACCACCAACCAGATGGGATTGATGGGTTCCCACCACCATATGGAACCGATAGGTGTTAAATCATCATGTTCCTTACCCTCTGGTGAACTAACATAACTATGGAAAATCACCATTGTTAATGGGTAAATCCACTATAAATGGTTATCTTCAATAGCTTTTTGTATGTTTGCCAGAGGCTAAATCATCATCTGGTTGGTGGTTTTAACCATCTTGAAAAATATTAGTCAATGGGAATGATTATCCCATATATTATGGAAAATAGAAAATGTTTGAAACCACCAACCAGTCATGATGTCATGTTCCTTAAGCGTTAGCGATGCAGCTGGGGCCCCACCAAGCTGGACACACTGCCGTAGAACATCACCACCTGACGAGCGGAGATCTTTATGGGATATGTACCTGGGATTTATATGGGGTGTATATATATACATATGTATGAGATATATCTATATCATATATATATGTGTGTACATGGGATATCTATCTATCTATCTGTCTATCTATCTATCTATCTAGCTATCTATCTATCTATCTAGCTAGCTAGCTAGCTATCGATATATATAAATATATATGTAGATGGGATATAGCATGGATTGGTCTAGGGGAAAATATGAACTGCAAACCATTGTTTTACCATTGAATATGCGGATTGGATTAGTAAAATGTCCCATCATCCAATTCTGAGATTGGACATGTCTTCTGAAATAGCCACTCTGATAAATGCTTGGATGCTTGATGAGTGTCTCTTTGATGATCGTAGGGAACTTATTACATGTAAATATGATATCATAGACTCATCGGGCAGGTCATCGAATGCTTCGTCTGATGATTACAGGTTGAATCTAAAGGAAATCTACCCATGAGTTCTGCACTGGGAAATAAGATACCATCTTGATGAGTGTTTTCAATTCGGGGCAACTACTAGTACAAACCTGCTTCCAGGGTTGAATCACTTAGGGTTTGTCTGAAAACTAGAGATAAGTTTTTCAGTGATTCTTCCATCATTTGGCTATGAGTCAAAACCCTGGTACCTTTTGTTCACCCCAAGTCATAGCTGGGTTAAAATGGATGTTCATCCCATTAACAAATGGTATTTTCATAGGTATTGATGCATACCCATTTTCTCCTATTAAAAAACCTGCAAAGGGTTGAATCACTTGGGTTTCTCTGAAAACTAGACATAAGTTTTTCCAGTGATTCTTCCATCATTTGGCTATGAGTCAAAACCCTGGTACCTTTTGTTCACCCCAAGTCATAGCTGGGTTAAAATGGATGTTCATCCCATTAACAAACGGTATTTTCATAGGTATTGATGCATACCCATTTTCCCCTATTAAAAAACCTGCAAAGGGTTGAATCACTTGGGTTTCTCTGAAAACTAGAGATAAGTTTTTCCAGTGATTCTTCCATCATTTGGCTATGAGTCAAAACCCTGGTACCTTTTGTTCACCCCAAGTCATAGCTGGGTTAAAATGGATGTTCATCCCATTAACAAATGGTATTTTCATAGGTATTGATCCATACCCATTTTCCCCCAAAAAATAGCGACATTTTAGGGTCCCCTAGGGTCCCCATAGGGTCCGACGTTCAGACGTTCAGACAGGTCGACCAGGTCGACCATCCCACACTGCACCTTGATGAACCATGCTGCCTTGCAGGAGGTCGAAGACTTCAGCCGCAGATATCAAGGAATATGTAGGTATTTATATTATTTATATAGTCTTAATAATAACTGTTATTAGTATATACATACGTATATATATATATATATATCAATCTATATATATATATATTATAATATGTATATATATATATATACCAGTATATATTATAAATTATAACATGTATACACATGTTTGGAGCTTTGGAACATGTCCTACTGGATATCTGGTCATCTTTGGGGTCCCAGTTTTGAAAATGGACCAGTTTTGTCCCAGATGAACCACATTCCACCGGGGTCTGGGGAGATTCTTTTACTGGGTAGGGGGATCAAGGAACATTATAGAATATCTATATAATTATATACATCTATATTATACCAACATATACTGTACCAAGCACTTTTCGCACTGAGTCGCTTTAGTGTGTCATTCAATCCATTGCACCCCAAGCTCTGTCAAGAAGTCTATCCCACTCTCTTGCCATGCTATCCCCATGGCGGTTGGTTTCAACGAGCTTGATCCCGTTTCCATGGCCCTTCCCCGACCGGGGCGCCTCAATTGGGTATTGCTGCACCACGTCCAGCAAGGGATCTGGGTTCTCATCTGCCTGCTTGCTCTGGAATAACAAATGAGCCAAGATCTCAACTTCTGAGGCCCCCTCCAAGCGATTTTCCGCCATGCTTGAGAGTGATCAATTCGCGGAAATTGAGGAGAAACATGGGTGAAGAATCCGTGAGTCGAAGTCTTTGCAGAGATTTGGGTCTGGCTAAGCCATGTTGCACTGAAGTCGTCAAACGGTATGATCCCTCTGCAGGTCAGAAAGGTCAGAAGGTTTCCCCGAGGATACCAAAACATGGGGAGTTGACCAAAAAAAAATGACACTTTGACCATCAAGGATAGGGATCTCTCCAGCCAAGAGATGCGAATATCACCGGCAAGACTGCGGCCTAGAACCCTGTTTTTTCTTCATATTGGAGGCCTGGATCGCCATGTTTCAGCACTCCAAACTGCCAGCCGCAATTGTACCGTAACCAGGTCATAACCATTTACAGAAAATTGATCATTATTTTTGTTGCTGACCTCTTCACTTTCTTGCATCTAAAACTCCAAATCCATCCAAAACCATAATCATGCCGTTGGGAAAGTCTCAGTAGTTCCTTGGGTCCCCCAACAGGGAATATGGATACAACACCATACAACTATAGCTCGGAAGCATTTCCTCCGGAACCACCGCATAGACTTGGGTGGCCAAATGGTGGTTTCCTAAAATAGGGGTACCCCCAAATCATCCATTGATAAATGGTCCATGGTAAACCATCCAGCTATTGAGGTACCCCCCATGACTATGGAAACCTCCAAATGTGGATCGCCCGTCCCCACCCAACCTCTCGGTTGGTGCCATCGAAGAAGGACTGCATCCGTCTCTGCACAGAGCGAGTCAGTCTGCGGAGCACTGGCGGCATGGCGCCGGGCCGAAGAGATGCGTTGCTTTCTGCAGAATGGAATTTTGCTGAGAAACCGTGGTAAAACAAATCATAGAACAATATTATACAAGATTGACCTTTTAAAGAACTCGCAACAAGTGTTCAGTTCTCATGAATGATGCTCCGATCTCGATTTTTGTTGTTCATGTTGTTCGGGGGTTCCATGTTTTTTTTCTAGGGCAAGGCCATGTTGTTAATCCAGATATCTGCACTGACGTCGATGCCGTGTCTCTGCACTTATATAGATTCGCCCAGGGCAGCTCGAAGTGACAAGTGATAGTCGATGCATGGTAGGTATACTGTATGTACCATCTGGTTATTTAACATAGCCATGGAAAATCCCTTATAAATGGAGGTGTTAATGGGAAAATCATCTATAAATGGGCCATTTATACCATGGCTATGTTAAATAACAAGAGGGTATATGTAGTTGTGTCTCGGAAATTGAATTCACGAACTTCCATTCGTCTTAGGTGAGACGAATGGGCTCCCTAAAAACATGAGGTGACATCGCTATGTTGTGAACATCAGCAATACCAGGATAGCTTTGAGTGTGCTGAGCTCAGCATCACTGGGTCAGGATATGTCAGAATGATCAAGCCATATCAAGCCTTTTGGCGCAAACCGCCCCAGGCCATCCCCAGCCCCTTGAAGTCAACAAAGCTGCGAGCAACTCTTGGGGTCAGGCAACAGCGTGGCAACACTAAAAAAAACCTCTCTAAGTCAGCAGATGTGCCAACAATTTCTGAAGTCCAAAAGTGTTACAAGGTCCATAAGGTCCATTGCCAGTGGAATCCTAGATGCAGCAAAAATAGCTAGTGCGGTCAGTCTGTTTACGCTTCCAAACAGCCTCAAGAATTCAATTGTATAAACCATTCAAAAAATAAAAAGGCAGTCTTTCTTGGGGAATCCTCATAATTCACAAACGTCGTCCGATGAGGTCGCTACAATTCACACAGAATCTTGGCATCTTATGATTTTCACGCCGGTGGCAGGTGGCATACCCGTTGATTCTGGGCAAATTACAATATATATCAATATGTCACAAAGCTGAAATGTACCTGTTGGGAATAGTCGGAATAGTTCGTCCTCCGAATAACCATGGTTTACAGCGAGGTCATTGTGAGATATTGTGAGGTCGCCAATGTGTGATCCACCATCAGAAACCATTCCAAATCTGTGGCTTCTTATTGTGTATACCCTACGAAGTGATTGATAATTCGGGCTGTTTTATTGTGGATCCCACATTTTTATACATTTTTTCATATTTTTTCATTGTCCCAGACTGCATCATCCACACTTGCCCCGTCCTGATCGGGGCCGGCTCAGTGGTAAGTACCAAGCTGGCCCCACAGTGGCGGCAGTACTCCGAGTCCGCCAAGTTCCTGGATACAAAACGGAAGATGTAAACCCGCAACGAGCCTTAGCGAGGGATGATGTTAGCTGATGATTCCAGGATTATTCGCTGGCTAAAGAGAATAACATAATATAATCAACCAAACATGTTGACCGCTACAGTAGAATCTGCAGCCAAAGTGAGGGAGATGCAGCAACAGGGATACAAAACCAACAAAAGTTCGAATCATGTCAAATCAATAGGTTGGTTTAGTGGAAGAAATGCTGGAACCTTCTGGACCAAAGTATCATCCGTTGTTGGGATGCTCCAACCAAGTCTGGCAGACCTGGAAACACGTACTACTTGCTGCATTCACGACAAAGCGCAATGTTGTTTAACTACCACTCGCCTTGCATTTGTGCTTTGGTTTTGCAGATCACAAAACTGTTGCCCTCAAATTCAAGTGTATCTGATACTCAGTCATCCATTCATATGCAAACAGCAATAGACAATCTGCCATGAACTTTGATGGGCTTCGCTTCCACATTCATAGCTCCAATCATAGCTGGTGGTTTCAACCGGTCATGGAAATATCAGGGGATGGAGCTTAATTGACCCATTTCTTGGCTGAATCTTCGGTCCAGTGCTTCATCAAACTTTACCCCTTGGCCATAAATCGAGGTATACACCCAAATATCATAGTGTTGGATATGTGTAAGTATATAATAGTACATATAGATGCTACCTCCCCCCACCCATACCCCTATAGATATATATATATACCAGAATATTCACGAACATCCCATTGTCCATTGCATCCCCATATTTGCCGCGTAAGCCTCCGCTATACCCGAAATCGCTGGGCTTCCAAGCGTTCCGCCACAACTGGGACAAGGGGTCTGCGCCTGCCACAGCATGTACAAAGGGTCTTTGAACCACGATTCTTTGAAATCCAACAACAAATATGGATAAATATGTTGTATACTAAATGACTGTATACTTGAAGTTGCTTGGTGTGTGTATATATATAATATAAATACATACGAATACACACATTTGGTGTTACAATATTGATCAATATTGACTGTCTTCAAATAATTCAGGACGACCATTGGTGAATTGGTAAACTTCACAGTAACATGGTGCATGGCAAAAAAAAAACGTGATCGTTTTTAAAAAAGGTGCATTGTAGCAATAGCAATCCAGTCAGTTGGGTAGATGTCTCGAATGATGATACGACCAGTGGATGCTTTTAAATAGCAATTTGCTACTCTAAATTTCCCAGTTTTAGACGATCTTCCCACTGGGGCAACTGCCCCGCCCTGGCGCCTCAAATTGCACCATGCAAGGGCTATATCTGGATCCTGGCCACCAAGTGTGGTAACAATCATGGCAAGTGGGGCATAAGAGCCGTAGTCAAACATTGTTTTTTTTTGAGCAGTGGTCATCCCACCATCATGGGATTCCTTCTGATGTGTATGTTCACTGGTCATCCCTTACAGCCTTACATTAATCATGTTTTGACCATGGCAACACCAAGCACTTTCCTACGACCATGTTGGTGACTGGACGTACTGGATGTGGCTGTTCTATGGCTGGACCATTGGTTTCTCAGTAATTACTGGCCACTGCGGCCACGTGTTGCGCCACGCCTTGCGGTTTCTCTGTGGCAGCACTCACGGCTGGCAAAGCCTGGGCTGGGCCCACATCGCAATGTGGGAAGGCGACTCCACCTGTGGAAACAAATGCAGCTTACATTTAAACAAAACGGGAAATTAAAGTACCGAAATTGGTGGAACAACATGATTTAAATTTAACATGATTTAACTTTAACCATCAAAAAATGTGAATGAATCACTACATGAATGAATCGTTCACTATTTGAAAATTTATGAATGAATCAATGTTGACTTGTACCATTGAGGATTCTGAATTACTCACCACAAGATACGCTAAGCTGGCCATATAATTCATCGCCACCACGGGTATGTAAGATAGTTATATCATCACTTGATGGATGATTACACATGGCCACCTATGGCCACCAATAAACCCAGTCTTCTGTGGCCAGGATTTGTTGTTGCATCTACTGCTGATATCCCCATCTTCGTTGCTGTTTGTCTTGGTGGTTCTTAAAACGGGGGACCCGGAAATCATCCCAAATTAGTGGATTTTAATGAAGAAACCAATGATTGGGGTGTACCCTAGTTTGGCTTTGTCTGAAAATATCCCAACATTGATGGTTGATCATCATTTTCCTGATTCAAATGGCTATCAAATGGCGGGGGTGAATATGTTGAATCACCCATTTTCAGACAGACAAAAAGATCATCATAACTTGCAAAAACATTTGGTTAATATGTCCTTCTATCCTCCTTAAATAACCATGAAACCGCCATAGAAATATATTATCATGGTTTGGTTAATATTAATTAACCTTAAATAACCACCATTAAGCCATTAATATCTCATGGGTATGGTTACCCTCTGGTAAACTAACATAGCTATTGAAAATGGCCATAGAAATAGTGGATTTATCCATTAAAAATTGTGATTTTCCATAGCTATGTTAGTTTACCAGAGGGTAATATCCCATTATCTCATCCTGTGAGATCCCCTACACCATCCCCATGATGCGGAAGCGCCCCACTTGTTCGAACAAGCGGGCGAGGGTCCGAGGGTCTCTCTGCGGCACGTTGGGCGCTGAGATATCACAGGTTTTGCGCCCCCAAAGAAAACGCGAACGGACGGATGGGTTCAACGGTTCAACCGGATTATCCGTTTTTTCAATGTTGTTTGTACATTTGGATAGTGAAAGAAAAATAAAAAATAAAGGGAACATTCTTGGCATCTCAGCAGCACTGGCTTGAATTATCTGAAGTGCTGACGAGGCCATTCGGGACCATCTGGAGTGCCCACGACTAGGTGCTGGTTCAATCCCCTAAAGTATGAGATGAAATGATTCTAAATGACCAAATGGCATTGACCCCAAGAATATACTACCACATATGCCCCATTATAAAATGGACTATATGGCATTCTCATGGATTCTGAAAAAAAAAACTGAAAAGAATAATTGAATACGGATCTACCCATTACAACAGGGTAAAAAAAGCTTTCACGGGGCTCCCTGCCTTGCTAACCAGCTTCGCGCGCCCCACTTGAGGGACAGCCCACATTAGCATCATTAGCTCGGCTCACCAAAGCATGCAATGAGCAAAACGCCCACCTCGGAGAGAAAATCTCCGCCGACATGATATCTAACCAGCCCAGAAGTGCTCTTCACTGTCCGATCCCCTGAAACAGATTGAAATAGCTCAAAGTTATTTCAGATTCAATCCTTCATACCCTTCACCAATAAAAAACACACCGAAATGAATCAGATGAGTTGAAGATTGTGAGCCTAAAATCAGATTGTCAGATCCACCTCCCTCCACACCGGCGCCCAGTGATCAGTCTGGGACTCTGCACGAGTTGCAAGGAGAAGGCGCCGAAGTAGATCAGCAACGGCTTCTTGGCCGTGATCTCTCTGAACCTTTCAAGCTGATGTCAGTGGCGCCCCTTACGGCGCCAACGAAGGTGCTGAATCTCATCCCCCCATTGAGCACACCGCAACCATGGGTATTGAAGTGTGATTGATGGGGATGAAAGCGCATCTGACTGCAACCATAGAATGTGTTTTGTTTTCCAACACGAACGAGAGACAGGATGATTTGCAACATTTTGTGTAATATGTAATGTAGATCATCCATGTAACTGTAACCATAATCCATTGGTAAAGGTTTATGATTATGATTATGATAATTATGGTAGATGTATCCATTTTATGAAAAAATTGCTGCCCCTCATAGATACATCTACCATAATCCATAATCCATCTACCATAATTCAATGGATTGGATTAAGGGAAAATTTACAGGAAAGCCCCATATTTAATGGGAAAATCTATAGTTTCCTGTAAATTTTCCCTTAAACCAATCCATTGAATAATACGCAATATTTTGTAAGGGTTTATGATTATGGTAGATGTATCAATTCGGGGCAGCACCTTGGGCATAATCAAACTTTCGAAGGGCCGTTTCAACAGCTTACGAAGTACCCATCGTTACCCAGCACTTACCCTCTGGTAATGACTAACATAGCGAACTGGAAAGATATCACCATTTTTAATGGGTAAATCCACTATAAATGGCAATTTTCCATAGCTATGTTAGTTTACCAGAGGGTATTTAATAATGAATCCACATGAATAAAACTCAACTTCCTACGCCTACCAATCTTTTGAGCAACCCCAGAGGCGAGCAGGCCGGCAAATCACCACAGCTGAAATGAGAAACCCTATGCCCCTACAATAACCAAACCCCGAATGCAAAAAAAACATACATGATACATATATATATATGATTGCATATCATTAAATATGGTGCAAAGCGGCAAACAATATTCAAACTCCCAAAGGCCAACCTGGTCTATGTTTATCCTACTAGGACAACAAATCGCAGCCCTGGATCTTTGAGACCAAAGTTAGATCCCGGTTGAAGGCCCATAACCTTTGTAGGAATACATATCATGATCATGTCATTATCATGGCCAAATAGTCAAACATAGTCAAGCAATTCAAAACAGACCGGCAAAAATCGGCATGAACAACCACAAACAACCAACCTTTTAAACTGAAGCATCAGGCCGTCAAATCAACGACGTCACACAACGGATGACGTTCGCGAAACGACAACCAGGCTGAGATCCCAAGCACAAAGACAGAAAGGAGGCTTGACACAAGGATGGGTCCTAGAGATCACAAAATTCGGGTTGACGATTCAGTTTACAGGAAACCATGGGTCTTACATGGTATAACTACCTTGAAGCTTAGTTGACTCATCAATTCTTTGCATGTTGCTCTAGAATTTTGGCAATTACCTTTAGACCTGTTGATGATGATGGGTCAAATCCAGGTCAAGGTATATGTTGTCCAAATACCGGGGTGCCCGCAAAGAAGACAATTTCCAAGAACGTCACGTCATTGAACCAGTTCCAGACCTATAAATGTTGGAGTGGTGGGTGCCTCCACATTGTATATATATATATGTATATATATATATATGTATATATATATGTATATATATATATATATATGTGTATGTATATATATATGTGTATGTGTATATATATATGTATATCTATATATATATGTAAATAAATATATATATATATACGTATATGTATATGTCTATATATATATATATGTATATATGTATGTATATATATATGTGTATATATGTATATATATGTATATATATATATATGTGTATATATGTGTATATATATATATGTATACATATATACGTATATATATATGGCTTCTATATTAACCCCCTCATGATTGATCCCTCGCTGGCAATGGCGCAATAACCAAAGAATGAATGCATGCAAGTCTTCGACACAGGACTTGTTCAAAGCCACCTGTAGGTGGTCCACAAAATCAGCCAAGTCATTCCCTACTATGTTGATGATGATGTTCCTTCCTGCAACTATATGTTTAGGGACCTAAATACATATTATATTATATATATATATATCTAAATGAATATACGCGTATATTATTGTATATCACATATATATATAATTATATAAACATGTATAATATCTATATATAATATTATGCACAAGTACATACATATGTGTATATATATATATATCAGTATTATGTATATATATACATATACATAAGTATATAAAAGTCAGAATATGTATATATACATACATAAGTGTATGTGAATATATATATATATATTTATATAAGTGTGGATGTATATATATATATATGCATAAGCATATATGGAGGCTTCCTAAAAGGTTGGTCCCCCCAAACCATGGGTTTCAATACTAAAATGGTTTAATTTTGGATGATTTGGGTACCCTATATTTACACATACACATTCCACATGAATATGTAAGCCTGGCTCAACCCATGGTGAACACCGTGGGGACGAATCTCACAACCAAAGTTCCTAGGGAGCCATGTGATTCTGGAAGCTGACCTAGGATCGACATCGAGATTCCACCATGATGCGGGCATTCTGGCTATATCTGGCTGAAATTCATCATAATTCCCTGAAATAGCCAGATATAGCCATGAAGGGGAATCAGCAAAAAGCCAGATTTTCTAGCCCAAAAAAACACTATCCCCATCTGGGAATGATGGTTTTTGTCGCCAAAAAGTTATGGGCCGGCCATTTGGGGATGATTTCCAGTGGCGTCAACGCGCTGAGATCATGATGAAAAATTTCATCCAGAAAACCCTGGCTTATCATATCAATAACCATGATAATGGTTATTGATGATGGTTATGATAACAATCATTGTTGACCATCAATAACCTTATCATAACCATATCAATCAATAATTTCATCAATAACCAATACCATCTATCATTAACAATCATCATTAAGCATCAATGATTTGATTATCAAACATAGATTCATATTAACCATTATATAGTAACTACATCAGGAGGTATTCACTCTACCACTTCGACAATTTTTTGCCCCCCACCCCCGAATGGCTCCGACAGCGTCCAAGGTGTACCCCACGGAATAACCCAGGAAAGAAATGCCTCGAGAAGCCGTGAATAAAAAGCTGTACCCATAGTGGATCTGGGATTCTGGGATATCTGGGATCCATGAAATTCCATGGTGAATCTTAGATCATCTGATTTATACCTGCCACAAAAATCGAATTACCGGTATTTTTTGCTGGTGAATCGACTATATGTTTTGCCATTGAGAGCAAAACATTGAAGTACTAAAGTATCTCTCCAAGTTTCATTTTGCGGGATGACAAAAAAAGGGCTGATGCTGACCACAGCGCAAGCTGGGCTGCAGTAGAACTATCCACCGATCAAATCTTGGTGGTTCCCAAAAAGTCTGAACTCTTCATCTCCGCTTCGTAACATGAAGGTGGCAAAGCCGCATAAAATTCATGTTGCTTGTCTCCCAAACAACAGATCTATGGAAAATCCATGAAAATCCACCATTTCCATATCATTTTCTAAAAAATGGATGTCAGGATGTCCATCTGTTTTTTGTTTGCCATCGAAATGGTAATCAGTCGCCCTATGAAAATCGCCCAGTCGCCCTTCATCATACAAGCGAAGCCCACGCCCCAGATGCAACCGCTGGCATAGGCGGGGCCGATGACGGACTTCTTCAACCTCACCTAACGGACCGGCGTGGGATATATAAAGGCGGCAACTTTCATGGGGATCATGGGGATCTTTCATGGAGATCTTGTTGTGGATACTATATGTATATGTATACAGTACATATATATATATACATACATATATATATACATATATATATATATACGTACATATATATATATACATACGTATATATATATATACATATATATATATATTATGTGTAACATCTCGATGGCTCTAACAGGATACATCCCCTAATCAGATGTCTTTACAGGGACCCAAATCCATTCCGTTGTCCATTTCATGTTATATACCAATTTGCTTACATATTTATGTAAAAAAAGGATTGGGCCAAAACGTACATTCCAGAACGTGCGTTCCGGCCCTTTTTTATTCTGAACGCCGGCCCATACCGACCAAGTGATCAGCCGTGTCATGGGAATCTCATTGAATATAACACCATTGGATCAGCCCTGTATGGGCCTGTCTCAAAAGGGAACCCTGACATACCCTGAGACCCTGTCCATTTTTCGAAAACGAGAGAAACCCTGTGATCAACGATTGGGCAAAATTGGGTGCCAAATCTGACGAGACACATATCGCCGTATGGTATAACGTTCAAAAGATTGGTATAGAGTCATAAAAACGGTTTCAGATCCTCAAAATGCGATCGCTGCCATGCCTGTCATGGCCTTCTTGTGGATGTTACGGGTACCCCCTTCCTCCCCCTAAACCCTAAAGCAACAAAATCACCCGTGTATCAGACCCAAGGTTGGATTCCATGCTGAGAGGCCCCTCGAATCACGGCCACACTGGAATAGAGGATCAAGATTCCACCTGCCGTTTTTCTGATGTGGCTATGGATCAATACCGATTAATACCATTTTTAGTGGGATGAACATCCATTTACCAGCTATTTTGATTTTCACCAGGGGTACAAGGTTTTGACACACTGCCATGTCAAGCCCACGTGACTTCAACTCCAACCCGGCCAAAGTTTGTTGGGGTGCTACCCGAAAGTTGGTGAATCTGAAGAACCTCACCATCTGCTGGAAATTGGGGACTGGCCAAGCCATGCCAAGCCATTTCCAAGAGGATACCCTTTTTTGGGATGGGGGGATGAATTGATATCTATAGTCACAACTCTATTATATATATATACTATTATTATCATTATTATTGTTATGATTATTTTATTTTATATTATATTATATTATATTGTATATTATATTATATTATATATTATCTTATATTATATATCATATTATATTATATTATATTGTATTTTATATTATATTATATTATATTTTTTTATCATATTATATTATATTGTATTTTATATTATATTATATTATACTATATTTTATCATATTATATTATATTATATTATATTATATATTATATTATAATATATTTTATATTATATATTATCTTATATTATATTATATTATATTATATTACATTATATTAAATCATATCATGTTATATTACATTATGTTATATCATATCATATCATATTATATTATGTACACATGGCCAGTCCATCAGTGGGTCAGGGGGTCATAAGATTTGGATCCATGCATTGATACCAATGATTGCTATGAGAACCGGAGTGGTCACTGGGCTCTTGAGATGCGCTATCACTTGTCACTGGTTGGTGGTTTCAACCCCTCTGAAAAATATTAGTCAGTTGTTCACACAAGGCGGGAGGCGTTCTCACTCGCAGCACGCGGTCACGCAGACCACGGGCATCGAAGAAACGAGACTCGCGTCGGAGTCATCAAGAAAAGAGAAAAAAGAGTGATCAGCTGATTGAATTAAAAAGAAACTTCCAGTTAGACAGGACATGGTTTCGACCCACGAAAGCAACCCCAAGCATGCGATTGGCAGGAAAAGACATGGCAATCTTCCCGCCCTTTATGTAGCCTGAAGTATGGACTTTTCCATCACTTTTGCATTTCTCCGAAACTTCGCCAGGCATGGCAGGAGTGTCAGGGAATTTCTTGGTGATGATGTTGAAGGCTTTCCTAATCATAGTGGCATAGCAAGCTGGAGTCAAATCTTTGGCCTCAAGTCTCACTCCAGCGTGCCAAGCGGCAAACCCTAGCTGCAGAAAACTGGTTGAACCATTAGGGTCGGGATCCCAGGAAAGGGTTACGAGCCACTGAAGAATTTTCTTCCAGTTAGTTTTTGACAAGCTGGTGGGCAATTTGCAGTTGGCAGCATCATGGGCATCAAGCGAGGTGGTCCATGTGTAGTTTGTACGGATTGGGGACCAATCCCACAAAGGATACAAGGCTTTACAATCTTGCAGGCTAGAGGAGAGGGAAAGTTTGGGAATGTGGGCCTCATTTTCCTCAAGTGCAGGTTTCTCTCTCTGATCTGTGGGTACTGCAAGGTGCGTTTGTAATTGGGTCAACCACCATTGCCATTTTTCAATTTTCAGGTTACGCTCATCAAGGTTTACGAAAAACGGATGATTAAAATATTAGTCAGTTGGGATGATTATTCCCAATATATGGAAAAACAAAAAAAAACCAACCACCAACCAGGTCATGTTCCAAAATGTGTATGGATCAGCGATCGGGTACCCCAGAGGAAAGAACGGTTCATGCACCAATGGAGCGCCAGAAAGACCAGCAATGTCCCATTTATAGATGTTTTCCCATCATTTTCCCATCATTTTCCCATGATTTTCACTTAACCGTGGGGTGATGGCAGTGATTTTCTCCAAGACACTGGAACATACCCAAATTCCAATACACTGAGGCCTCAAGTTCCGCAGAATGATAGCCTCTGGTTATGACTAACGCAGCTATGGAAAATGGCCCATTTATAGTTGATTTACCTATTGAAAATGGTGATTTTCCATAGTTATGTTAGTTTACCAGAGGGTAAGTTGGTTTATTATGTGATCATTTAGCTATTGAGAATGGTGATTTTCCATAGCAGTGTTGAATAACGAGAGGGTAATGGGAAAACAACAGCGGGCATGTAAGCTACTTCCGCATAGAGAGGAAGCCAACAAGAGCGGGGATAGGAATGAGGAGTGGAGATGTGGCAATGGCTCTGTCCTTCGACGCTTCATGTTGAGAAACCACCATGTGCCAGTTGGTACTAAGTGACAATGTAGCCGCTTTCAATCAGCTACAGTACAAGTGTTGCTAACCCATGGTGGAGATGCACTCATCTCTTGGAGTTGGGAATGGTATGAAAGGTTCTCTGTTCATCCTCCACGTGTTTTATTCCAGGATACAGAGCCATATGTTTTTGGTCGCTTATTGAGCCATCAGCCGACACAAAAAAACCCAATGACACTGATGGAGAACAAAACAGCCTCAAATGTGGCTGGATTTTTTTTTTGTAAATGGAGGTGTATGCAGCTGGGAAAATACTCTACACTATAAAAGGATACAAAATGGAAATGTTCCATGGCCCTATTTGATTACCGGAGGGTATCCATTAGGTCTTAGCAAATCTGTAGATGTCTGACACCCCATTGACGGACTAATGCAGGTAGTCATGTCCTCGTTGCCCTTCTACTACTCAACGCTGCGGGAATTCGGGACAATCTATGATAGCAACTTGATCTTCCTATTATTCCACTACGGATCAAACCCCTGGTAGCCTGCTTTTCAGATCAGCAGATTGCTAGTAGTGATGGATGTTCATTTCATTCAGATGGTCCAAGAGGTAGTGATCCATCTCCGTATCATCGCAAGCATATATCATATCCCCCAGGTCTTGTGGACATCAATTCTGTCAGTTCTAAACTTCGGAAATCAATTCTAATTGCTGATGATATGGGGATTGAGCTAATGGGATCAGTTGAATCCCTAATTCAGTTGATCAACGCTCCCTGTAATCAGAAGCGAGCTGCAAGGCGACCGCAAAGGCTTCAGCCTCCGGGTGTGAAGCCTCCTTGGAACAGGTGCCGGTTTGGCTAGGCGACGAGCCCGCTATACAAAAGATATGAAAGATGGGGATGGAAGATGGGGATGTAGGAAGATAAATTATCAGATAATATCAGATATATATATATATAATTATATATTCAACAATGTAGGATGTGGCTTTGTTAGGCTTTGTTTGGAAATTGTGTAAAAACTTCAAAAAAAAACCATGGCCAGAGAAATTTGGGCACCACCATCCTGACATGAGTCCGACGGACATTTCCCAGCCAGACTTGATAGATTTGTTGGACCTGGGAATTCTTGTGCTTATCCATGAAGTTGCGAATTAAACACTAGCGCAGAAATCTTTTCCATGGATAGTCAAAATTAGGTACCCCAAAACTAGATGCAAAAATTACTACCATCTGCTTATTTAACATAGCCATGGAAAATGACCCATTTATAGATGGTTTACCTATTACAGATGGTGATTTTCCATGGCTATGTTAAATAACCAGATGGTAACACTAAGATCTGTGGTCCCAGATGGTCCAAGTCTTTAATGGCTTGACCCAGAAAACCAAGGCATTCTCCCAACGTAAATCCCGGTGCGGAATCTGATCTGACAAAGCCGCAAGGGGATGCGCTTCACAACTCATCTGAAGATGGCCAAAAATCCCACGCGAGTTTCCCGCTGACCAAAAAATCTGAGTAATGTCAACCCCGGATTAATAAACCATGGTACGCTCCCAATTAAAGAGCCTAGGGGTTTATTAATCCAGGGTTGACATTATCACAAAAAATCACAAAAATATGTTGCAGTGAATTTGTATATGTACACAAAAAAAAAACACAATTATATGCCACCAAACTCGCCGAAAGCAGGTTTGGCTCAAACGACAGAAAAAAAAATGGAAAACCAATTGCGTTCCCTGGGCCCGAAGAGCCTTGTCAGTCTTCACATTGTTTCGAGCACACCACGATGGAGTCCATCTTGAATCTCTCCCTTGATCTCAGGATATCTTAAGAACCTTTGATTAAACAGGAACCAAACAGCTTTAAAGATACAAAATAGAAACTTGCAAATCACCAGGATTTGCTCAACATCCCCGGTGACCAAATGCATGAGCATCACCATCCAACCGGTCCAACCGAGGCGCCCAAAGGGTGGCAGGCACGCCTTGAACTCCGCAGAGGCCCCCCGCCAGGATGGCCAGAATGACACCCAGCAGCCTCTGAGCTCCTCGGCAAATTACTGGGACAATGGATGACAATTTAAACTTTACACATCTTTACACTTAGTGTCATTAATTGTCATTAATTGTCATTGTTTCGGATTTTTAAGTTTTTTTTGTTGTGTCTCGTTTAAACAAACACGTCCAGCAACGTGTTTGCTTGGGGAAGACCCTGGGATCAAAATTGGAATGGCGACAGCGAATGGGTCCCCACCTGGTCCCAAGCGATCCAATGAAGTGATGTGCTCGTGTCGGCTCAAGTCGATCTGCGCAGGAAACAGGGCGGTCTTCGTGTAAGTGGCCATACCATGCCCTAGCTTGTGTATGTCCCTGTTAGCAGTGACCACAAAGGTAATGACAAAAAATAGCACAACTGAAATCGCAAAAATATTGATCCTTGCCAAAGCTTTTGATGCTCCAATTTGGTCGTTTTATGTTCTGTTGCCCAGAAGTCGCACAACAAAGCTCAAACCAAACGAAAACATTGGAAACACACGTTTTTTTCGACTTTCTCTTTGTCCTCAAAAAGAAACGGCTAGTACGCACTAACAGAGCACACCAGTGCGCAAAGAAAGGCACAAATGGGCGCTCCAAAGAATCTTTAAAACAAAACTGATTTTGTACGGAGCAGTGGCTGTACCAATGCTTCTTGAGCCCCAAACATATGGATGGTGTCCTAAATATCCGAGTTTCCCACCTTCAGTAGACGACTTGGGAGGATTTCTGAAGTCTGCCATTTCAAGACCACAATGTTGCTGTGTAAATTCTAGATTAAGACCACGATATGTTGCTGTGTAAATTCTAGATTACAGTAATATACAGTAATCATATCTTGAGGAGCTGACGAAGATTGATCATATCTATGCTCTTCCAGGGGTTTTCACCAGCCGCCAACTGGAAGATCCTGCCAGCCGCTCAAGGGCCCCCACGCACCTGGCCGTGCTTCTTGCCCAGTGGATGATCACCTTCAGGTACCTCATCGCCAAATCTGGGTTAATCTAATTCGTAAGGTGATGATACAAGGTGAGGCCCCAGTTATGTTCGTTGTTGGCTTATATCTATATATATACAGGATGGTTCCAAAACGGTTTAGGAACCTAAACCGCTGCACATAAGGAATCGAACCGGTCCGGAACCGGAAAAAACAGAACCGTTTGGAATCGAACCGGATAGAATCGACGGGGGCCCCAAGGAACCTGAACGCGGCAAGACTTAAGAATCGAATCAAATATGAATCGGTAGTTTGTTTGAACCGAATCGCCACGAATCGATCCTTCAACTGGAACCGAAATAACGCGAATCGAGGCCATGCATACCGGGGATCATATACAGTTCTTGTATGTTTGTATTGTATTGAACCACGCAAGTGCTTGAGATAATTATTGCATACCATCTTAGTATGCAAGCTTTAATAAAAAACTAAGTTTTATACAAGCGCCGGGACCAAGTAGTAGATAAATGGTCAAATATGATTCACTAAATTAAATACTATTTTCTTATCAAATCTTTATATAAATTTCTTGGATCTATTTGTGAATTTGGGCGCATGAATTCAATAAGGGAAACCAAAATTGGAGGGACTTCATATTCTTCTAGTTTATCCAGAATGATTGAATTCGGAGTTTGATCGACGATATTCATCAAAAACGCACCAGCCACCCGCCAGTATCCATCACGGCCCTTTTCCGTCTCTACATCAGCGGACCACTTTATAGCCTGGATCTTCCTCCTGGCGCGGCCAAGACATGGTAACGGTTAAATTACATGGCCAGGGACGTGAAGACAAATCTAAAATATGAACGATGAGGAATTCAATCTATTGGGAAATCCCGCAAATTCGACCCATAACCATGAAAACTATCCTGCTACAACAAGAAGGTGGAATTTGAACAACAATGTCCACAAGGCTTATTGAACTACATAACAATGAGGGTACGGACGATTGGCTATGAACCCTGGAACTCCAAGGGCAAACATGATTTCCATCTCTGTATGTATCTTTCCCCCACCAAGTCACATTTGAAGATTCTAACAGGTTTCAGACTAGTTTCAAAGTAGTTTCAGACCCCTAGAAGGGACAGGTTTGGTGTGTAGGTATGTAGCTAGGTAGCTAGGTAGGTACGTAGGTAGGTAGGTAGGTAGGTATGTATGTATGTATATAACCAATCCTACGTACGTCATTGTATCTCTATAGCTAGTATATATTACAACCGTACTTCGACAATAGTAGTTACCCTTCCAATACTATCGAATTTCGTCCGGAAATACAACTGAAGCATAACTGGAAGAAACTTAATTGTGTCGCAATGTTCCATTATAGGAATTCCAACAGACAGTCACCATATCAACTTGCCTTTTGATCGTACCTGCTCAATCGTATAATGTCGAGCCTATTGTATTCAGCAACACTGACAATTAGTCTGTGCTGCATAATGAAACTGCGTCCGGGGGCACGATTTTGCAAGTGCCCCGCTGACTTGCGTCCAGCACGGTCAGACGGCGGACAATGGACCGCAATCGCTGCGGCAGCTTTTCAAGCGCCAGTTCCCACCTTGCCCTTTCTTTGGATCTCACATTCTGCCATCCACTGGAGAAGCTTTGGATTCCACAGGCCACCACGGCCTCACGGCTGCCAGTGAAGAAAGGTTTCCCAGTGCCGGTCTCAAGCAAAGTCATTCCCATGGCCCAGGAGTCGCTAGCCGGCCGTAGTCGCTTCCCTCGCAACTTGGAGTCGTCCACCCAGAGCTCAGGCGCTCTGTAATTTGAAGTATAACATGCACGACACTCTCGAGCTGGTATCTGCACAGCAAGACCAAAATCAATAATATGGACTTTGCGAGTGTGCTCACAAAACATGATGTTGCTTGGCTTTACGTCACAGTGCAGCAAAGATTTGTCATGCATGTAACTCAAGCCACTAAGGCTCTGTACGCAAACTGCCATCTGAGCATCTGGTGCGACAGGCAACAATTGCCTCAGGCTAGTTTTCAGCATCGGCATGATCATCCAACTCAAGCCTCGCCAATCAACGTGACTGTCCTCTACGTGCAGGAAGGCGGGATGTCCCCTGAGACTGTCCAAACAAGCGAGCTCAGTGTGGATTGTTTCACAACGAAGCTCTATCTTGACTGCCACAATGACGGAGTATGGGGGATCAGGCCCGCTAAGGTTTGCGAAGCGTCAAAGCTGCAAAGCCTCTTTGGCGCCTCACGCCTCAAAGCCTCAAAGCCTCAAAGCTGCAAAGCCTCTTTGGCGCCTCACGATTCAAAGCCTCAAAGCCTCAAAGCTGCAAAGCCTCTTTGGCGCCTCACGCCTCAAAGCCTCAAAGCTGCAAAGCCTCTTTGGCGCTTCACGCCTCAAAGCCTCAAAGCTGCAAAGCCTCTTTCGCGCTTCACGCCTCAAAGCCTCAAAGCTGCAAAGACGCGTGGATGCTTTGGCGCTTTGGCGCTTGGGCGCTTTGGCGCTTGGCGGCTCTTTGACGCTTTGGCGCTTCTTGGCGCTTGTCCTACGTCTCAAAGCCTCAAAGGGTGCAAAGCCTCGTTGGCGCTTCACGCCTCAAAGCCTCAAAGCTGCAAAGCCTCTTTCGCGCTTCACGCCTCAAAGCCTCAAAGCTGCAAAGACGCTTGGATGCTTTGGCGCTTTGGCGCTTTGGCGCTTGGCGGCTCTTTGACGCTTTGGCGCTTCTTGGCGCTGGTCCTACGCCTCAAAGCCTCAAAGCTGCAAAGACGCGTGGATGCTTTGGCGCTTTGGCGCTTGGGCGCTTTGGCGCTTGGCGGCTCTTTGACGCTTTGGCGCTTCTTGGCGCTTGTCCTACGCCTCAAAGCCTCAAAGCTGCAAAGCCTCGTTGGCGCTTCACGCCTCAAAGCCTCAAAGCTGCAAGGCCTCTTTCGCGCTTCTCGCCTCAAAGCCTCAAAGGCTCAAAGCTGCAAAGACGCTTGGATGCTTTGGCGCTTTGGCGCTTTGGCGTTTTGGCGCTTAGCTCTTTGACGCTTTGGCGCTTCTTGGCGCTTGTCCCACGCCTCAAAGCCTCAAAGCTGCAAAGCCTCGTTGGCGCTTCACGCTTCAAAGCCTCAAAGCTGCAAAGCCTCTTTCGCGCTTCACGCCTCAAAGCCTCAAAGCTGCAAAGCCTGTTTGGCGCCTGACGTCTCAAAGGCTGAAAACCTCAAAGCCTGAACGCTTGGATGCTTTGGCGCTTTGGCGCTTTGGCGCTTTGGTGCTTGGCGGCTCTTTCACGCTGTGGCGCTTCTATTTTCCTACGTTGCAAATCTTCAAAGCCTCAAAGCCTGAACGCTTGGATGCTTTGGCGCTTTGGCGCTTTGGCGCTTTGGCGCTTGGCGGCTCTTTGACGCTTTGGCACTTCTTGGCGCTTCCGCTACGCCTCAAAGCCTCAAAGCTGCAAAGTCTCTTTGGCGCTTCACGCATGAAAGCCTGAAAGCTGCAAAGCCTCTTTGGCGCCTCACTTCTCAAAGCCTCAAAGCCTCAAAGCTTGAACGCTTGGGAGTTTGGCGCTTTGGCGCTTGGCGGCTCTTTGACGCTTTGGCGCTTCTTCGTGCTTTTCCTACGCTTCAAAGCCTGAAAGCCTCAAAGCCTGAACGCTTGGATGCTTTGGCGCTCTGGCGCTTTGGTGCTTTGCGGCTCTTTGACGCTTTGGCGCTTCTTGGCGCTTTTCCTACGCCTCAAAGCCTCAAAGGCTGAACGCCTGAACGCTTTGGCGCTGTGGCGCTTTGGCGCTTGGCGGCTCTTTGACGCTTGGGCGCTTCTTGGCGCTTGTCCCACGCCTCAAAGCCTCAAAGCTGCAAAGCCTCTTTGGCGCTTCACGCCTCAAAGCCTCAAAGCTGCAAAGCCTCTTCGGTATTCCACGCCTCAAAGTCTCAAAGGCCTGAAGCCGGAACGCTTTGATGCTTTGGCGCTGCTTGGGGCTTTGACGCTTTGACACTTTGGCGCTTTGGCGCTTGGCGGCTCGTTGACGCTGTCTGGCGCTTCTTGGCGCTTTGGCGCTTCGCGGCTCCTTGCCCCTTTGGCGCTGGCAGGCTTGTCGGCGTTTTTTTGCAGCTTTATGACGCTTCAACGCTTTGGCGCTGCTATGTGCTTTGGTGCTTCGCGTCTCTGTGACGCTTTGGCGCCTCTGACGCTTTGGCGCTGCTATGCGCTTTGGCGTTTTGTAACTCTTTGACGCTTTGGCGCTTCTGGAGGCTTTGGCTTGGTGAGCTTCTGTTTTCTAGCTTTTGTAACTTGGAAGTTTCGTGTTTGCAACTTGGAAGTTTCGCATCTAAAGTATTGTTCATTTCTCTATTTCATTCATAGG